TTTCTTGAATTTCTTCCCTTTGGGTTTGAAATTCTTAGATTTAGGCTTATCCTCTACCAAGTTTACTTTAGCTTTTGTTTCATTCTTAGTGTTGGAATTTTGCCTATGATGGTCTTCAATATGAATAGCCTTGAGGGATTCAGTTAAGGTTAGATCTCCTTGCTTGTGTCGGAGATCTCCAGCAAATCTAGACCAGGAGAGAGGAAGTTTATCAATCAAACAGGTCCCACTGTGGTCGCCAGATTGTTCGCGGTGAAAATCGTTGTTTTCTTCATCATTGATTCCATTGCAAATTCTTGTAATAGTTTATCGATTACAAAGATCCGGTCTTTTTTAGATCCGGTTACAACGAAAATCAAATAACACAAGAAATAAAGAAAATTACAACTTTCTCCTTTTGTGTCGAACAAATCACGAGCTCATGTTTTGCGGTTGCTCGCTTTTGTGGGTTCTTTGCCTGCGCCGGGGTTGTTTGCCGTGGACCACCGCGAGATCTAGATCCGGTCAGATCTAAGCAGTACGACGGGTATTATTCCACAAAGGAAATAATAGCGGAATTGCCATAAGTCCAATTTAAGTTTACTAGTCTAGGTAGATATAATCTGATATAAAAAAGGATTTTATCAATATTACTAGACCAGAAACTTAATTAAATCTGCTCTTAACCAAAAACTCTAAAAGTAAAAAGATTAAAGTTTTACTCGGGTAGTTTGGTCAGGTAAGGATAGTACTAGAGGTTGATCAATGATCGATTAAGTACATCGTTTCTTGCAGAGCGCTTTACGCAACCCTTAAACATTTTCTTAGACACCAACTAATCCAAGAAAACTTGAACCGGTTCACTTAAAGATTTTTTGTTTATGACAGATACTGAATTTGAGCACAGAAGCAGCAAAGAAATAATAATTTTTTTAATAATTTAGATGCAACAAATTAAAACAATTAACTAATACAACAAGTAATTAAAATATATGAAATTCGGGTGAACAGTAATCCCGATGAACAGTAACTTTTTTTTTTAATTTTTTTTTGCTAATTAACTTAACAGCAAAAATTATTACTTAATCTTCTAGATTGCTGTCAAAACAGGAATATAATAATATAAAACAAATTAAGGAGTTAGAAAATTCAGGCCTGATTGGGAGCAGTCGTGATATCACCGCCCTAGAAGATTAAGGACCCGCCTATCGCCCTGGCGCAATTTGTCCTCTCTCCCCTAGCGGTAAAAACCGGTTGCCCAGAAAATAGATATATAAATATGTAGCCGAAATCTCTTGGAGGTATGAGAGTAGAGAAGAGAAGAGAGTTTAGAAGATTTACTCTTCGTTGGTGTGATTCTGAATGAGCTCCAAGCCTCCTTTTATAGGTGATAAAAGGTGTAACCCCCGCTGAATCCAAGGGACCGTTACGCACGGTTATTGCTTCCGTTACCCGTATGCAGCCGTTACAAAATGTGTAAAACGTGCAAAAATGAAGGCTTGAGAAGCAAAAAGGTGTGCGGCTGCGGCGTGGCGTGCGTGTGTGGTAGAAATGCAAGGCTCACAAAACCCAAAACACTATTCAAAGCCCAATAAAGGAGAGAACCATTATATACCCTTCACTATTCATCTTATTTTCCAATGTGGGACTATTCACAAAGGCAAAATTGCCTTTTCATGACAAAGTTCCCAACAGTTATTAGATCTCAATACCATAAATTAGCTAATTCAAACTTTGTTAAGTAATTTTCAAACCACGACAAGTTCCTTTATCTAGTTTATCTGCGTAAAGATCTTTCAAACAGTAACATTTTGCAGATTTGTCCTTCTTAAGTTTTATATGGACAACAAGTTTTGCACTGCAGAATCTTAAATATCTCCTTTCGTTTTCTCCTTCCTTGTCTTCTTCAAAAACTTAAGAATCACCGAATTCTTCACTATATTCCCGAAATCCTATTCTTTTCTTCACTTTGCATCCCAAATAATTCTTATACTAAAACACAATTTCTCTGTCTACTTTATTCTTATTTGTAGGATCAATTTAATATCATGATCATGATATTTAAATTAGTAGATTCTTTAAACGTATACAAATATGAAATCTTAGCATAACAAATTGATGATGTAATACATCACACTACTTATCCATCAACTTAATAAGTACTCTGCTCTTGCCTCATAAAAAAAAATTATTGACCTTCACATTAAAAGGGAAAAATCCATTTTTGATTATTTCATTAAGTGATGTCTCTATGTCCTTCTTATGGTAAATAGGTCAGAGCATCAAAGGTTGTGTTTATCTCCAAACAAAGGTTTTCAGAAAAAATTGAGATATGACACATGCATGAGGACCTATCTGCAAAAACTCCACCCGGCATAGTGGCATATCCTTCACCCAAAACGCCAAATTATTTATTTATTCCCCACCTCCTTTTAGGGCCTGTTTGGTTCGTTTTCTAGATATAGGAAAATGCAATTCTATGTAAAGAAACTCAAGTTTTGAGTTTTCCAAACTTTTCCAAGAAATAGATTATTTTGATTTGGTTTGTATGTAAAATATGGTGGGAAAACAATGTATTTACTTTTTTTGTGTTTGGTTTGCATGGAAAAAAAAGAAAAACTTTTGTTGATTTGACATTTCTCACTTTTCTTGTGTTTAGTTGGTTTTGAAGTGGGTAGGAAAAAGTGTTTATGATCATCATGGTAAGATTATCCCCCCACTATAGACAAATTAGAACTAACGAGGCATAAATTAGAACTCACATGACATATATTAGAACTCACGAGACATAAATTAGAACTAACATGGTATAAATTAGAACTAACATGGTAAAAATTAGAACTAACGAGGTATAAATTAGAACTCATATGACATATATTAGAACTAACATGAGCCGAGATAGAACTAACATGGTATAAATTAGAACTAACATGGTATAAATTAGAACTCACATGGCATAAATTAGAACTCACATGACATAAATTAGAACTAACATGAGCCGCGATAGAACTAACATGACATAAATTAGGATTAACATGGTACAAATTAGAACTCACGAGGCATACATTAGAACTCACATGTCATATATTAGAACTAACATGAGCCGTGATAGAACTAACATGACATAAATTAAGACTAACATGGTACATATTAGAACTCACGAAGCATAAATTAGAACGAACATGATATAAATTAGAACTCACGAGGCATAAACCATGCACACAATTGAAACAAAGGCCAAGCAAGGACTGAACCAAAGGCCAACCATAGCTGACCAACCAAAGGCCAAATAAGGACTGAAACCAAAGGCCAACCAAATAACACAACAAAAACCAACTTCATAACCAACCTAGGAGCTGAAACCAAGGTCGAGAGCAAGGCTGAAACCATGCTAAAAATCAAAACGAAGGCCAAGCAAAGACTGGAACCAAAATTGCTGACCAACCAAAAGCCAAACAAGGACTGAAACCAAAGCCCAACCAAAGGACACAACTGAAACCAACATCATAACCAACACAGGAGCTGAAACCAAGGCCAAGAGAAAGGTTGAAACCATGCACACAATTGAAACAAAGGCCAAACAACAAACCATGTAGACATTTCCAACCATGCAGACATTCCCTAGATTCCAAATTAGGGCAGAGAGATCCGTGTCGTAAATACAAACTGCCAGCAAACCATGCATATATTTCCAACTCAAATGTCTCAGTTAAGAAAAAGCTCAACACTTAAGAAATTCAGAACTCGGTACAAATTAGAACTCATATGGTACAAATTAGAACTAACAAGACATAAATTAAAACTCACATGGCATATATTAGAACTAACATGAGCCACGATAGAACTAACATGATATAAATTAGAACTAACATGGTATAAATTAGAACTCACGTGGCATAAATTAGAGCTTACATGGCATAAATTAGAACTAACATGAGCTGCGCTAGAACTAACATGACATAAATTAGGACTAACATGGTACAAATTAGAACTCACGAGGCATACATTAGAACTCACATGGCATATATTAGAACTAACATGAGCCGCAATAGAACTAACATGACATAATTAGGACTAACATGGTACAAATTAGAACTCACGAGACATAAATTAGAACTAACATGGTATAAATTAGAACTCACGAGGAATAAACCATGCACACAATTGAAATTTGCATACACATGAAACAATCATGCAAGAGACAAGTTTTTACCTTACCTAATAATCAGAAATTTGCATATGCACGAAAGAAATCATGCAAACCAGTTTCTCCTTACATAATAATCAGAAATTAATCAAATTAAAAATCTCAAAAAATCATACCACCCTCCCCCCAAGTTCTCAAAAAACATCAGATCTGCCAAAACATCAGACCCCCTCCCTCAATTTCTCAAAAAATCCGACCCCGCTCCCAATTTATCTAAAATCTCAAAGATCAGATCTGAATAGCGTTGACAAAGATTAATCAAATACAAAGCTCAGATCTGAATAGCGTCGGTAAAGATCAGACCCCCTCCCCTAATTTCTCAGAAAATTGCTGTAAATTAAACTAATAATCCGAAAAAAAAAAAACAATTATTACCTTGATTTTGGAAGCAACGGCGTCGGCAAAGATCAGATCTGAACAGCGTCGGCAAAGATCAGATCTGAACAGCGTCGGCAAAGATCAGACCCCCTTCGCCAGATTTCTTCGAATACAAGACTAAAAAGGTCGCGGAAGTTTCTGGCGGGAGGAGAGCAAGGAGGTAACGATAGCTCACCAAAGGAATCAGCAAGGAAAAAAAATCCGACGTGACCAAGGTTTTTGTCGATTTCACTTAGTCAGTGAAGGAAATCGGAAAAGAAAAAAATCCGAGCTGACTGCCATTTCAACAAAGTTTTCCCTCCTCCGCCCAATCGAACCAAAGACACAAACAAATGGGTGGGGTAAAAAAAACGGACGTTAGAAAGTGTCAGGCGAAGAAAAGTGATTCCACGCGCATTTTAAGCGAACCAAACAGCCCCTTTAACGGAAAAAGATCCCATCTTTTTCAACCTCTCACTCAAGCTCACTACCCTCAATTCTCTCTCTCTCTCTCTCTCTCTCTCTCTCTCTCTGTCTGTTCACAATGTCGATCGTTCGATGGAGGCCTCTCCTCCACAACCCCCCTATCGAAAACCGTAGATTTCCTCCGATCCGATCCGAGCCCTCTCGCTCAATCTCTACTCGCAGATCCATTAAAAATTCTTCGAAATTTTCATTCAAGTCCTCTCATCTCGAGCTCCTTCCGGTGATCAGGGCCAATTTGGCCCAAACGCCGCCCCTCTCTGAAGCTCCTGATGCCGAGATCTCCTTCACTGAAACGTTTCAATTGAAGCGGACTCAAAGTGTAGGATATCAAGATTCTTTCTTTTTTAGCAAATTTGAGAGAGTTTATGAAGAGCTTGTTTTTGTTTTGTTTTTTGTAGGTTGAGGGCAAAGTTACGGTGAGATTGCATCAGCAAGAAGAACAGGGATCGAAATGGGAGTTGGTTGTGGGTTGTAATTTAGAAGGGAAGTGGATTTTGCACTGGGGAGTTACCTATTGCGACGATTCAGGGAGGTAGCTATCTTTTCGGTTATTGAAGTTCCCATTTTTAGATGCTGAACGTTAAATCTTAACCAGATTAATTTTGTATTTGATTTGCATTGTGAGCAATTAAAAAGCCTCAACTTTAGAACATGCAAAAGCTAATGGGGGAAAATATCCTTCTTTCGAAATCCCCAAAATGGTCTTTACACAGTTTCCATATCATGAAGCCCGATTGTTAGAATCTTTCGAATACTCTACTTTATGGTTATTGAAATTTTCACTTGGATAACAACCAACTGGGGTAAAATGTTCTCATTTCAGCTTTGGACATGTCTCAACGGCCCAACATTCAACTAATTTCTTATTGTTCTCGAAATGTTTCTACTCATTCTCTTTAAAGAATTCCTTGGCAAGCTTCTTTCATGCGTATATATAACAATTATGAGAAATGGATTGGAGAATGTCAGGTTGCATATATATACATAATAATGATATGAAACTAATTTTCATATTCTTAAAAGTCTTTTCAAAGTAAAAGTGGCCACTCTCTTTTCTTCATCTAAACTTCTTATACTAAAATAGACCATATCCGTATTATATGTCATTACTGAAAACACCTATTGAACTCAATGACTGGATAATTCTCCCAAATAAACTAAAAAATTACCTGTGAATAATGTAAGCTATGAAGCACTTTTTTGTTGATTATTCCTCCTTGCTAGTTTACATCTCGTTTCCTATTAAAATTATTCTTTTATGGTTTATATCATTGCTGGAATTAGAATCTTATGGAAACAATTACGGTTTTTTTTCTTATATTAGTCCCCCAAATCTATCTTATTTTTAAACAAGTCCCTCAAATCTCATATACTTTAAATAAGTCCCCCAAATCTATAAGTGTTCTTAAATAGGTCCCCCAAATCTCATATATTTTAAATAAGTTCCACAAATCTACAATATTTCTTAAATAAGTCCCTCCTAGTTAAAAAAATATTAATTTCAAATTAATATAACTAAATGACACTAATCTTACTAGCTTTTCCCTCATCCCTAGAATATAAGGGTTATATCTGCAACAGATTGCAATAGAGACTTCTCAACAAATAGCAAGGAAAGAGGCCGAGGGGTGAGTTTCAGGGGGAAAATATGTAGGAAAGAGGAACACAAAACATGCAGGATTAATGACATTTAGGGGGTGTTTGTTTCACCAAAAATTTTGGCATTTGGTATGGATTACAAGTTTTGGAATAAAAAAGTGAGTTTTTTTGTATTTTAGGATTCCATATTTGGTGTTTGTTTTAAGAAAATTTTTAGAATATTAAATCCCAAAAGTGAAAAAAGTGCCCAATTTTTAGAATTTGCCAAATCCTCTCAATTGGAGAGGATTTTGACAAATCCCATAAATGGGTGTGCTTACCTCTCAATTAGAGAGGATTTGACAAATCCCAATTTTTTCTTTTTTGTGGGAGTTACCTCACCAAGATAGCATATTCATCATATTACAAAATTTTGGCATTTGGTAATGCTACAATTTGAGCTTGAAACAAACAAAATATTATAAATTTTAATATTCCAAATCCTAAAATATTAATGAAACAAACAACATTTTAGAAATCCCAACCCATAACAAAACACCTATGGATTTCAAATCTCATGGTGAAATCCATATCCTAAAATTATAGGATTTGAAACAAACACCCCCTTACTTAATTTGGAGTTAATTTAATAGTTTGTAACAGGGGGTGGGGGGCTTATGTTAACTTAGATTTGGAAGACTTATTTAAAATTTATAAGATTTGGAGGACTTATCTAAAATATATGAGATGTGAGGGACTTATTTAAAATATATGAGATTTGGAGGACTTATTAAAAAATAAGGTAGATTTGGGAGACCAATATAAGAAAAACCCAACAAGAAAATGTAGCCAACCTTTAAGCTTTATATGAAGCATAGTGAAGAATCTTGTTTATTGGATTCTTTTATATGTCATACGAAAGCACAGGTATAGTAATTTCTTATGTATGAGAGGATGGTAATCTTAATCCTCCTTATCTATTTTTCAGCGAATGGGATCAAGCTCCTCTTGAAATGAGACCACCAGATTCTGTCCCTTTCAAGGTAGTTATTTATCTCTTGATTGATTATTTATTTGCTTTCTTGTTCCATTATGTTTTGGACCTTTTGGTTTATTTTTTCTTTTCTTATCTTTTTTTTCTTTTTTGTGTGTGACTACTTCAGGATTATGCAATAGAAACACCATTGAAGAAATCTTCATCTGTATCAGGAGGGGAGATTCTTTATGAGCTGAAGATTGATGTCGATGGAGGCAGCACTATAGCAGCTATTCATTTTGTTTTGAAGGTATATAGTTTCTATGGTTCATTTTCCCACCTAGCATCCTTGTTCAGTATATGTTTTGATGCAATCAAGAGCTTCATGATTCTCATGTGCATGTCATCGCAAAGATATTTGCAATTTGGGTTGGGGCCCACTGGCGGTGTTAGAGTTGGTGGTCCCCAGTACATAACACACTGGAAGTCCCGGAAGAGAGGGAGGGCCCTTTGTGGTGATTTTTTTGGCTAATCATACTGACTCTAGTACTGTACTGCACCAGGAAGAGGAAACAGGAGCATGGTTTCAGCATAAAGGTAGGGATTTCAGAGTTCCATTGACTAATTTTCTTGAAGAAAATGATGACAATATCCTTGGAAGGAAGAACTTGAACGTTTGGCCAGGTAAAGCAGGTTGTCAGTTCATGACTTTATCTACTCGTAGAAAGATGATTAGACACATAATAATTTTCGATAAGGTATTCTACTTGATTTAATACTGTATCAGAGCTATAGAATATCACCATCATTATCATCATCATCTTCAACATCTCCACCATTTCCATCATCACCATTATCCTTTCCCATCAAAGTTGGATGCCAGAGTTCTCCTTAGTTTCTATTCTCCTTTGCCTTTGCTTTTCCCTCTTAACTTCGTATCTGAAGCTTATTCATTCTTATGATCATCTATGTAGCTAATATCTTAGGACATAGGAACGGAACAGATGACAAATATCCAATATGCCTTTGTTTCAGGAGCATTAGGGCAGATTTCTAGCTTGCTGCTTAAGCCAGAAGGTTCTCCTCCTGAAAAGGAGTTAGTCCAAAATAGCAAGATCACTGGATTTTGTGAAGAATATACTATCTTGAAAGAGGAGCAAGTCCAGAATTCCATGACTGTTACTGTAAAGAAAAGCAATGAAGCAAATAAGAACTTATTACACTTTGACACTGATATACCTGGCAATGTGGTCGTTCACTGGGGTGTTTGTAGAAATAATAATAAGCATTGGGAAGTTCCCTCCAAACCACATCCTCCATCTACCAAAATTCTTCGGCGGAAGGCTCTACAGACATTATTACAGGTGTGCAACAATTTTTTTAAAAACCTTTTATTGGGTTTGATGGTAGTCAGGCATGCCACAAGATAGTTATTTTTAGGTCTTAGGCTTTTCTAGTTTCTACAAAGCACTTCCTTGTGCTTGTATATTATTTAAGAACAAGATACGACTTAATGAACACAGTATAAAAGATCAATTGAATCACAAGGAAGTATCTGAATAGTCATAACCACACTTGTATTCTATCTGCTATCCTGAGATTTTTTATTTTATCCCATTATCAAATTGAAATCAATTTTAAAATGTAGGAGTTGACCTTCATGTGTACATTACGTTCCACTGTTATTATGCTACGTTGCCCTATTAATTGCTGGAATGACGTATAAATAAGAATCTTGTCTTTGTTCAATCATTAGGAAGCACTGGCTAAACATGGGAATAAATATTGTTTAGCAACTGTCAGTTAACTTTTTAATACAAAATAGGATAGCGAGCCTGTATCAATTTACAAAATGGCATGCATGACATATACTAAATAAGTATTAATCTCTGTCTCTTGTTTCTCACTTTATGGAGGTTTAAATATTAATCGCTGTCTGCTTGTTTCTCACTTTATAGAGGTCCTTTGAATTGCAGCCAAAAGCAGATGTCATTGGTAGTTGGGGATTATTCCCTGTGGATAAGGAATTTTCAGGTGTGCTTTTTGTGCTCAAGCTTAGTGAATATGCATGGTTGAATAATTCGGGAACTGATTTTTACATCCCTATCACAAGTGTGAGTAGCTCGCAACCTCAAATCACCAGGGATCAAGCTGCAAATGAACAATTAAGAAGTACAGAACTGCACGACAATGTAGACAAAATTACCTCAGATGCTAGGAATGAATCTCCAGAAGTAAATATTGCTGAAGAATTAGGATCTACTTCACCCGTCAGTCCTGAAAAACCTGAGGCTACCCAAACTGGTCATGCTGCATTTACTGATGAGATTATCAATGAGATAAGAAACTTAGTTACAGATATATCTTCGGAGAGAGATAAGGGAACAAAAAGTAAAGAAGCACAGGAGAATATCCTGCAAGAAATTGAAAAGTTAGCTGCAGAAGCTTATAGCATTTTCAGAAGTTCTGCTCCAACGTTTGTGGAGGAATCTGTTTCAGATACTGACCAATTAAAACCCACTGTACAAATATGTTCAGGAACAGGGTCAGGATATGAAATTCTTTGCCAAGGATTTAATTGGGAATCTCACAAATCTGGAAGGTGGTATTCTGAGCTTAAGTCAAAGGCTAGTGAGTTATCCTCACTAGGTTTCACAACAATATGGTTGCCTCCCCCAACTGAATCAGTATCACCTGAAGGATACATGCCAAAGGATTTATATAATTTAAATTCCAGGTATGGGTTTATAGTGGAATAATTCAGTTCTCTGAAATTTGACAATTTCACACTAGGTACAACCTGCTAGTACTCCATTCTTGTTTAAGCTTGTGTATTTTTCTGCATAATATTTCACTCTTAAGAAAAGCCCAACTTCTTCTGATCAGTACAGGGGTTCTTATTCCTTGATTTTTCTTAAACAGCATGTAGTCCATGATTAAGCAATAAGCATTAAGCAGCACAAAGTTACCAGTGGGTTGCATGGGTTAAACTGTATGCTTTTTAATTATAAATCTCATGTAGTTTACATGCTTACATTCCGTAGAAATTTAATGTCAGCGTTGTAAATGCACATGAGCTATATAGCTTTGGGCATTAGTGTATTCCCAAAAATAATTTAGTATCATTGGGCAATGAACTCCCCTGTAATGCTTCTTTTTAAACTTCCACAGATTGGTAGTCAAAAGTAGTGTAGTATCTGATGATCCTGTACTCAGATTGTTCCCCATAAGTTAACAAGTTAGTGCATATTTTCCTCCAAATGTCGGTAATGAATTTGCTTATCTCAATGAAGTTGAACTTGGTTGACACAGCAAGTGACAAAGATAAAAAACTGGATGATTTTCTGCTTCTGGTGAAATGTATTAGGTACGGAAGTCTGGAGGAACTGAAGGACCTAGTGCAAAACTTTCATGATGTGGGCATTAAAGTTCTCGGTGATGTTGTCTTGAACCATCGATGTGCTCATTATAAAAATAGCAACGGTATCTGGAATCTCTTTGGTGGTCATTTAAATTGGGATGACCGTGCTGTTGTTGCTGATGATCCACATTTTCAGGTAATCAATGTTATGCAATATCTTCTATGAGAAAGTTAATGGTAAGGCCTAGAACAAATTTCCTTTTATAAACTAACTTAAACGCGTGGCAGTCTAGCAGATAGCATTCTTATAAGTACAATAATAACTATGCCTTTCTAAAAACATTGGAGTCAGCATAAATGTACTAGCTAAATGGAGAAAGAAAGGCCAGATTCTTCAGATCTCTTCATCCAATGCTTATTATTCATTATGGAAATAGATACTACTAAAATTGAAGTCTAAAATGAAATGACGAGAATTTACTAAATTATTTCAAGCCCAATTGAGATGGAATTAAATATTTATTATGCCCATATTGCTGTCTTCATTATACTTATGACTTATATTTGTGTACTTTCCCTTTGTAGCAATGTTTTATTAGGATCGAAAGGTTCTGACAATTCTATGTAGACATCATTACTTTTATGTCACTTTTTATGTGTGAGAGATATGTACTTCCTTTTCCCAAAAACAATGGAAAGGCTTCTCTGTTCAGATTATTGCTTATCTTAGAAGGTTGATTTGCTGTGAAAGTATTTATGGTACAGTGTGCAGATTCTGTTGTAAGCAAAAAGTGATTTCAAACGTCTACATATTATCTTTTCTTCGTCTTCCTATTGCCCCACAATTGAAAACTGTATTTTTCCAGCAATCTTAAGATAGCTTTTAACAAATAGCAAGCAATTGGGTGAAATTGCACGTCAGACACCATTTAATCCTTGTACATTCTCCTATGCTCACTCATTAAAGTGTACGGAAATTTCTTCAACTCTAGGGAAAGGGAAATAAAAGTAGTGGAGATCATTTCCATGCTGCACCAAACATTGACCACTCTCAAGATTTTGTGAGGAAGGATCTGAAAGAATGGCTTTGCTGGTTGAGGTCTGAAACCATCTCTTTACTTTTACCAATTTCTGAAGTAGCGTATTTGTAATTGCCAGTGGATAAGTGTTTCCTATATTATGTATATTGTGTGTGATTTTGCTGATTTAAAAGGTCGGTATCTGTTGTTGCATACTTAAACTGACGTTATAAACTCTTGCTAACATAGTATTGTCTATATAGGAATATTCGATCTGCTAATTTATAAGTTGGAAAAGCATCACATCCTATCTTTATCAACATAAGCATTACTCAGCATGGTATTTACCTTAATATATTTTCTTGGTTCCAGCTCGTATTTGTTGTTTCTTTTCTAGGAACTTCAGTTACTACTAGAACAAAGTCAGTTACATCCTGAAGTATGATCTGGATATAACAAATCGTGGTTTTGAGATCCCCTCCATGTCAAAATAATTTCTGCAGATCAATCCGATCTTTAGAAATTAATTTTAAACATATATAGTTTTTTTTAAAAGCAAACTATCCTTTTGCTCCATGCAAGTGTCTGCACAGTAATTTTGTCTTAGTATATTAAAGATGTATCCATCTTGACTAACAATGTATGTTTGCTCTTCTTTTTCTGCTTTGGCTTGTTTTCTAGGTCCAATTAAATGATTTGTGGTCATTCTTATAATTATCTCGTTGTTGTCTTATATGCCTATGTATGTTTGCTCACAGAAAAGAAGTTGGATATGATGGTTGGAGATTAGACTTTGTTCGAGGATTCTGGGGTGGTTATGTAAAAGACTACTTGGAAGCAAGTGAACCATATTTTGCTGTAGGGGAGTATTGGGACTCTCTTAGTTATACATATGGGGAAATGGATCATAATCAAGATGCACACAGGCAGAGAATAATTGATTGGATAAATGCAACAAATGGAACAGCTGGTGCCTTTGATGTCACTACTAAAGGAGTCCTTCATACTGTAAGAACATAATAACAGTTCACTTAAAAACTTTTTGTCATTTTACTGTTCCGGTTATTTACATGCGGAACAAGCAGTTTTAGATTCTTGCGCTTCTGCAACTCAGTTGTAAACTCTCTTGCTAACGTTCAAGAGAAATGCTGTGGTTGTGTCCTGCTCCCACCAGCCTTAGCTTTTCTTTGATTCAAAATGAAAGTTGCAATACGAATTCTCTTCTACTGAAATTTTATTATAAAGCTTGGATTTAATTATTTAAACGTTTTTAACCCCTATAAGACAGTTATTTTTTACTCTCAAATTCGTGATAGAGATTAATTCAAAGCTTAAGTAGGTTATCATCAACCCCCTAGGATAATTTTTTTTTCCACCAATTTAGCTAGGTGTTGAGTTTCCTTCTAGGTGAAAATTCAACTTATTAGAAGATATTATATGATTTGTTGCCTTTATTAGACGGAGTCCAGATTTGATGCACAATTTAAATAGAGTATATTTCTGGTTAGGTTTTTCCTTTATTGGATGTTTCCTTTTCGTATTAGAGTTTTGCTTTCATATATATTCTACAAGGCATGTAAGTATGGGGTATTACCCTCTTCATAATGAATATCAAAACATAAATTTCTTCTTCTTCGTCTCCCCCTCCCCTCTCGCTACCTCCCTCCCCCTGCCCCCGTGCAAACTTCCCAACTTCTTATACCCCCCTCCCCCACCAAATACAAAAAAGAAAAAAAAACCCGGTAGTTTACCACAACTAATCTATACCGAAAAATTAGGAACAGATACATTTAATGTCTGCTGGAGTTCAATTTTACTTTTCAGGATATGTTTTTACTTGGTTAAGAATCTGTCTAGAAAAGAGAATCCACAGTAAGCACGCTATCAAATGCTATGCAGTATCACGTTGAGATATTTAGTAACAAATAATTTAATTTTGTGAGGAGGAGGGTGGGATTGCAAGTTGCAGTATAGTTTTGTGGGCAGGATTATTTTTGTGCAAAAGTGTGTGGTGGCTGCCACACGTGTGTTGATTATTTATTATTTGGTGGTGGGTTTTTTTTTTTTGTGGGGGGGTGGGGGGCGGGGGAGGGGGTTGGTGTTGGAGTTGTAAGACGCAAGACCAGGTCTTTTAAGAGATGGAAATAATGCGCTTACAAGTATAAATCCTCATCCACCACCATTTGAATCATTGTTACTTTCAGGCTCAATATGGTAAGCTATGATAACCAACTTTTAATCTAGAAGGCTTCACAAAAGATTTATCATAATTTACAAGAGGCTCCTGTGCCTGCCACAGTAGACTATGGGCTGAGCGCCTTCTTTGCGTGCTAAAACCTGGGTACACCCTTTTTTTCTTCTTAAAATCTACTTAAAGCACATCCAGGCAGAATTTAGATACTGTTGCCATTTATTTTCTGTGACATCAAAAGTGGCATCAATTTTACTAAAAATATGGTATTACTTAGAGGCCCATATGCAGCAACTTGTGGGGTGGGCCCATTGCCGAGCTATTTCTGCATTTGCAGGGCAATAACTCTTTTCCAAACTCCAAAGCCAAAAGTTGAGGGTTATTTAAATCTAATAGTATGAATTGTTTGGACCTGCAGTCATGATATTCTTATGTCCTAATTTACCTGCGAATGGTTTGGTGCTTCTTTTTTATAATCTGTTTTAAGAGGAGCATGATCTTTTTTTTGAGATTAATTTATATTTATTTTATATAGAACTACATGGAATCATACTTTTATAATAGTTTCATGAAACAAGGTACAGGTAACAAGGATAACTGAACAATAGGTTTTGCAGACCTAGTTTATGTCTGAAGTACATTAGCAGCAGTTCTCCATTGCTTAAGATGTATATCTAAATTGCTATGCTTAAGCTGACTAGAACATTGAGTTTTTTAGGTAATGAAATGTAATATGCACATTAGGATGCGACTATTCTTAGATTCCTTTGACAAATTTTAAAGTACTTACAGTTAGGAAAATTGAATCAATTATATTGACAGCCAAAGTTAATATTTCGTTTTTGAATTTCTTAGATCTGTCTTTCAACCGACTCCACAACATTGGAAAATTGCATATTCCACCATGAATAGTTTTATTTTCTCCTCTCTTAGGCTTTGGAAAAATGCGAGTACTGGAGATTATCTGATCAGAAACAAAAGCCACCGGGTGTTGTGGGTTGGTGGCCATCTCGTGCGGTTACATTCATAGAGAATCATGACACTGGATCTACCCAGGTATGGAGTAAATTTACTCATTATGCCATTAAGATACGGCTTTAAAGATTTGAGAAAGTGCCTTCAGTTTTAAATCCATTTCTTCCAATTAATAAACAAGAATCTGCACCATAAGATTTTCTGTGAAAATATTTCTATTAAAGCTAATTTACGATGCTTGCCAACCCAAAATTTGGAATGAAGGCTTTGTTGTTCTTGTTGTAATTTACCACACCACTCTATCTCTTGAAAATTTAAACTTTTATTTCAGACTACAAGTTATGACAATCTATTCATCTATTATCTATTACGCATGTAATACTGAAAGAGTGCCCATTCATTATGATCACTTCCTCTCACAGTTAACAATGTAACAAAAACCTGAAAAGACTTCTTACTACCTCTTTATCTTTTTATATTATCTTAATTCTTCTCTTTATCCTTTTATATTATCTTAATTCTTCTCTAGGGTCACTGGAGATTCCCATCTGGTAAGGAAATGCAAGGATATGCATACATCCTGACACACCCTGGCACACCAGCAGTTTTCTATGATCACATATTCTCTCACTACAAGCAAGAGATCTCTAAACTAATCTCAGTCAGGCATCGAGCAAAGATTCATTGTAGGAGTGTGGTATGTTCCTATTCCTATCAGCATAAGCTCTTCATACTTCGCTTTGTCAATTCCCTATTTTGATCCTTACTTTGACTATGCCTTTTCATCCGACTACTTCATTGTTTATCGAGGCATTTAGACTTTAAGCTACCAATATTCCATATGAAATTTTCCATGATGATAGAACTGTGAAGGAGGTCAACCACCTTATTGTAGATGTATGTTGTTAGCCTAAGGGATGTAGACTCAAAGCTGGAATCAAACAAATTGTTGGATAGCAGGTTTCCTAATCTGTTTGGGTAACATGATTCTTAATCTGTTTTGGTAACAGATTATTAGGATTGCTAATCTGTTTTGTTTTTTGGTTTTAGAATCCCTAGTCTGTTTTGGTTTTAGGTTTCTATATATATGGAACGTCTTAGAAGAGATTAGACATCAAAAAAGAGGGTTTTGAGAGAATTCTTCAGAGAGATCTCAGAGAGATTAGATCCTATTTGTGGGCATTGTAATATTCTTCAATATTAATCAAAGAATTGTGTGGTGTGGCTCCCGAGGACGTAGGCACGATTGCCGAACCTCGTTAATTCTGGTGTGTTCTTTCTTGTTTACTTTCCTACAAGTTTTTATCTTTTATTTGCTGTGATTTTCCTACTTTCCTACTCTCAAACACAAGGTCCGGAAGGACAATGGTTCGATTTGATTGTTTCGAATCCCCAACAACTGGTATCAGAGCTTCGTTCAAAAGGATTGTGAGAGAGCCATGACAGAGAAAAGCAAATCTAAGATCGAGAAGTTTGACGGTTCAGACTTCGCCTATTGGAAGTCGCAGATGGAGGACTATCTGTACCAGGACTTGTATCGCCCGTTGATGGGCAAAACTAAGGGAAAGAAGAAAGAAGAGTTAGACGAGGATTGGAAGATACTGGATAGGAAGGCTCTAGGATAAATTCGGTTGTCGCTCTCCAAGACAGTCACACACAACATATTGAAGGAGAAGACGACGATAGGGTATATGGAAGCGCTCACGAAGATATACGAGCAACCGTCTGCCATAAACGAGGTGCATCTCGTCAAGACACTCTTCAATCTCAAGATGGCAGAAGGACGCTCCTTCACAATGCACCTCAGCGAGTTCAACACGATTGTTGATCAACGCATCTCCGTAGACATCACGTTCGATGACTAAGTGCAGACCCTATTGATTCTATCACAGTTGCCAGATAGTTGGGCAGGTTGTGTAACGACAATCAGCAATTCGGCGGGAAAGAACAAGTTAAAGCTGAGCGAGATTGTTAGCATGATTCTATCCGAGAAGGTTAGAAGAAAATAGTCCGAATCAGAAGGTTCAGGTTCAGCACTAAATTTTGAGCAAAGAGGCAAAACCTAGAAGAAGGGGAATCAGAACAAGAATCGGTCGAAGTTAAACAAGAAGAGGTTAAACTCGAAAGTTAGGCCTATCAAAAGGAAGTGTTGGAACTACGATCAGAAGGGCCATATGTCTTCAGCTTGTAAAGCACAAAAGAAGGATGCGAATGAGCAGAAGGCTCATATCGTGTAGGATGTCTTGATCCTAGCTATGGATAATGATTCTGATTTCTGGGTCATCGATTCAGGACCTTCGTTCCACACCATTGCTAATAGGAAGCTTCTTCATAACTATGTAGCAGGAGACTTTAAAAAAGTATACTTGGGGGATAATAAACCCTGTAGTGATATTGGAAAAGGAGATGTGCAAATACAGTTGATGGGCTCCAAGTGGAATCTGAAGAACGTGAGGCACGTACTGAAGCTGAAGAGGAATCTTATTTCGGTTGGCCAACTTAGATCATAAGACTATGTTTCGATATTCACCGGGGATTCGTAGAGGATCTTAAACAGTACTATGGTTGTTGCCCGAGACAACAAAATAGAAACTTTATATCTCACCTCACATGCGAGTGACACCCTCGTAATTACAGCTGGCGAAGAGAGTACAGATCTGTAGCACAATAGATTAGGACATATGAGCGAGAAAGGGATGAAGATTCTACATTCAAGGGAAGCTAACCGGCATCGATTTCGTGAAAGTCGGTTTTTGCCAGGATTGCATCTTTGGAAAACAGAAGAGAGTTTCTAGAAGGTTGGAAGGTCACTTAAAGCTCAGAAGCTAGAGTTAGTTCATACTGACGTATGAGGTCCAGCTAGTGTGTCTTCTCTTAGCGGTTCGACGTACTATGTCATCTTCATCGACGATCACTCGAGGAAGATGTAGGTATACTTCATGAAGCACAAGTCAGAGGTATTCGGAATCTTCAAGAAGTGGAAGGCCATGGTGGAGAACGAGACAGATCTGAAGATGAAGTGTCTGAGATCAGACAACGGTGAAGAATACGAGCTGGAGGAGTTCAAGAGGTTCTGTGCTCTAAATGGGATTCGTTTGGAGAGAACTACTCCAGGGATGCTGCAGCAAAATGACGTTACAGAGAGGATGAACAGGATATTGACGGAGCGTGTCAGGAGCATGCGATTACATGCAGATCTGCCTAAGATATTTTGGACGGATGTGGTGCATACGACAGCTTACTTGATTAATTATGGGTCATTAGTTTTATTGGATTACGTGATTTCAAAGGAGGTTTGGAGTGACAAGAAGATCAATCTCTCACATTTGTGAGTATTCGGTTGTGTGGCATATGTTCATATCAGTGACAATATCAGTGTCAAGTTAGAGGCTAAGTCACAGAAGTACACATTCATTGGATACGACATTGATGAGTTCGTGTATCGTCTTTGGGATGAGAAAAACAGGAAGATCATCAGAAACAGGGATGTGATATTCAATAAGGAGGTGATGTACAAAAACAGAGACAGTGCCAATGATAACCAAAATAGTGAGAGCAGCACTACGGATACAGATGGATCCGAGTACATGGATTTGGAGGAACTTCCAGATGGGGGCGACAAAGTCAATTCTGACCGAAGAACAGAGAAGGCTCTAGGTGCAGAGACGACTACCCAAGGCGTGGAGCTTAGGAGGTCATTCAGGGTACCCAAACCGAATCCCAGATATCTCTCATCACTTGATTATTTATTTTTGACAGATAGTGATGAACCAAAATGCTATGAGGAGGCTATGCAAGTGAGTGAATCTCAACAGTGAGAGCATGCGATGCAAGAGGAGATGAATTCTCTACACACTAGTGAGACATGAAAATTAGTCCAACTACCTGCACAGAAGAAAGCTTTGCATAACAAATGAGTCTATCGGGTCAAGCAAGAGAGTAATGGAAGCAAGAGATATAATGTCAGATTAGTCGTGAAAAGGTTCCAACAACGGGAATGAGTGGACTATACGAAGATATTTTTCCTCGTTGTGAAGCTCATCACCATCAGAGTGGTGTTGACCTTAGTAGCTGCAGAAGATATTTACCTTGAGCAGTTAGATGTGAATACTGTATTTCTTCATGGTGACTTGGATGAAAAAATCTACATGAAGCAACCTGTTGGCTTCATTGAAGAAAGAAAGGAAGAGATGATGTGTAAGCTCAAGAAGAGCTTGTACGGATTAAAACAGGCCCCGAGATAGTGGTACAAGAAGTTTGACAACTTCATGCAGAATAATGGCTATAGAAGATGCAATTCAGATCATTGTTGTTACTTCAAGAGGTTTGAGTCCAATTTTATCATATTGTTATTGTATGTTGATATATTAGTTACATGATCGAGTTTAGAGAAGATAAACAACTTGAAGAAACAGTTGATAAAGGAGTTTGCTATAAAGGATCTGGGTGCAACGAAACAGATTCTAGGGATGCGAATCAGTAGAGATAAAACTGAAGGGACGTTGAGATTGAATCAAGCTGAATACATCGAGAAGATACTTCAGAGGTTTAACATGTAGAATGCTAAGATTGTTAGCACGCCCTTTGGAAGCCAATTCAAGCTATCTGAAAAGCAATCGCCTAAGACATACAAATAGAGAGCATATGAACAAGGTGTCATATTCTTCGGCCATTGGGAGTTTCATGTACGCAATGGTTTGCACAAAGCCGGACATTGCCCATGCACTGGGAGTTGTGAGCAGGTTTGCAAGCAATTAATGGAAGTAGCATTAGCATTGGGAGGCCGTGAAGTGGATATTGCTCTACTTGAGAGGGACTACGGACAAGCCACTATCTTTCAGGAGGAAGGAGTTGGTACTGCAGGGATATATGGATGCGGACTTCGCCGGTGATCATGATACGAGGCGGAGCACCACGGAGTATGTTTATACCTTAGCGTCGACAACAGTGAGGTGGGTTTCACGTCTGCAGAAGGTTGTAACTTTGTCTACAACTGAAGCTGCGTATGTCCGGTGACTGAAACAAACAAGGAAATGATTTGGTTGAACGGGTGATTGGAAGAGTTGGATCTGAAGCAAGGAAAAGTTCTTTATTGTGACAGCCAGAGCGCTATACATCTTGCTAAGAATCCAGTATATCATGCCAGAACGAAGCAAATTGACGTACGATACCATTTTATACGCTCGCTGATTGAGGACAGAAAGTTACATCTAGAGAAGATTTTGGGGAGTCAAAATTTTGCGGATATGTTGACGAAAACAGTGATCATTGACAAACTGGAGTTGTGCGCAACTTTAGTTGGCCTTCACGTGTAGGAGATGAAGACGGAGCCACACCAGGAGGATCGTCTGGATCGCCGGGTTGATGATGATTGCAGAATTGATTTTTTCCGTGTAGGAGGATGCTTGCGAAGAAGGGAGAGTTCAGGTAAGCTCGTTGATTGTGCTTTGGTCTCCAAGTGGGAGAGTGTTAGTCTAAGGGATGTAAACTCAAGGCTGGAATCAAACAGATTATTGGATAGCATGTTTTCTAATTTGTTTTGGTAATAAGATTCTTAATCTGTTTTGGTAACAAGATTCTTAATCTGTTTTGGTAACAGGTTATTAGGATTCTTAATCTGTTTTATTTTTTTGTTTTAGAATTTCTAGTCTGTTTTGGTTTTAGGTTTTCTATATATATATGGAACGTCTTAGAAGA